GCTGTGTAAGCTGCTGCTATACCAGATATGGATAATCTTCTACTGAGAGCAATATTTATCCATAACGGAGTACTGAATGGATAAGCTTATTATACCCGGTATGGATAATCTTCTACCGGGGGTAATGTTTATCCATAACTGGGTACTGAAAGGATAAGCTTATTATACCCGGTATGAATAATCTTCTACCGGGGGTAATATTTATTCATAACCGGGTACCGAAGTGATAAGCTTCTTCAGGAAGCTTATTTCCAATAGAGTACTAAATAGATAAACATATTTACGGTGGAGTCCCATATGGATAAGCTTCTTCAGGAAGCTTATTTACAACGGAGTACTAAATGAACATCCATAATATAATATATTTATAACATTTCTGTTGTTCTACTAGTTTTTATACAAAAAATTTCCAACTATTCTGCAAGGGTATTTTTGACAAATTCCCTCCGCCCCTTAATTAACTTGTAAACGAAGCGCAATAGTAGAAGTTGTCATTGTTTATGTTAGGGAATTATTTTATACGAATGTATTAATTGGAAGTTTGGAAACAGCCTCTCTACCTCAGGGTAGGGGTAAGGTTTGCGTACACACTACTCTCTCCAGACCCCACTAAGTAGAATTATACTGGATTATTATTGTTATTGTTGATGTATTAATTGAAAGCACGCTTAGATGTGATAATTAATGATAGAAGATGAGATAAAGTTTAAAAGGTGAAAGAACTCATTGTATCATTTGCGATTCCGCCGCTACCCGGGTATGATAATAAAGTTAGCGTTTGGCCATAGATTTCAAATTTGTTTTGAAAAATTTGATTTGGGTGAAGTTTAGTTTGAAGATAAAAATGTGTTTGGACATATATTTTCAAAACATATTTCCCAATTTTATTTTGGAAAAATAAAAGATTTTTACCTAGCTGATCCTTTATTTAATATTATTTTTATTAATGACATCACTTCTTCTTTGTTCCATAAATGGCAGATCTTTTTACAAATTTAGTATATTTTAAAATTTATGTGATGAGGAATTAAGGGATACCATTATTTTTGAGTTTTTTCACTCCTTCACTCTGCTTCTTCTCTCTTTATATATATATTTTAAAGTTGTATTTTATATAAATTTGTATATATGGCCTATAAAAAGTGCACATATTCGATCCATGTATTATATTTATGTATTTCTTGATGAAATCTGAATATACTTTGTATATATTTGACATAAAATATTTTCCGAACTTCTCCAAGTCTATGCAAACATAATAAAATATAATGTATATTTCAAAATAATATATATTTAATAATCAATATATTATTATTATTATTATTATTATTATTGTTATTGTTATTGTTATTGTTATTGTTATTGTTATTGTTGTTGTTATACCTAACATAAGTAAATGTTAACTAAGTTGAAGAGAACGTACATACCATTTTTATATCAAGGACAATAAAATAAATAGAATATACCACATACTTGAAGACAAAATACATAACAATTTTATACCGAAACGCAATCAAATAAACAGAATATGCCATGTATTTTAATTGTGTCTAGGCATAAACATGGTATGTACTTCATCTTCAAACAACATGGTATATTTTTGCTTATTTAATTTGTTTAGGTATAAAAATGGTATGTACTATATACTTGATTAAAATTTACTTGATTAGATATACTTCTTGGGTGTCGAGTATGGGTGTGAAATGGAAGATATAGGAGTACATATGTACGCACAAAAGATGGATATATATGTATAATATACGTAATATATATATTGTACTATTGATTATATATGTACATATAAAAGATGAGATATTTCAGTTGTTTGCTTCCCATTAGTTGCTTCTCATCTCTTTATATAACAATAGATGACATATGGAATATATGGAACACGAAATATGAAGATTAAGGACTAATTATCTTAATTAAGGAGAAGTAGGTAACTGAAACTATGAATGGTGCATGAGTTAAGGTACAATATTTAAAGGATTTTGGCTAGGAATATAAATATTTTCTTGCCTTATGTGTAAAAGACCCAATGCTGCTACATCAGCGAAAATTTTCCTATAATTTTGCCTAGTTATGTTTTTTGCTCTATATAATTCCCAAGCTTTAAGATTTTGGCCCAAAATCAGCAATTGGGGTGATTTTGAGATTTGGGATTTGGAATTTTGCCAAAATGTGGACAAAATTTATGGCCAAATATAAGTTTTGAAAATAAATTCCAAATTTATTTTGGCAAAACTCATGACCAAACGGGTCCAAAATATCAGTCATATCATCAATATACAGTTAACCACTCAGAAATTCAAGTAAAGGAGGTAAATATTTTATAGAGCGTGAATATGCCTTGCCAAAATTATAATAATTCTTTTAAAAAAAGAAATAATATATTTTCATAAAATGTATTCTCTTGTCCGAAAAGGTAGATAAAATATAAAGTCACACAGAATAAATCCCGACAATTTACCTTGCTATGACAAATGCTATATTGCTGTGATTGACAAATGTATATGCGAGTCATTGAACACTCTACGTCAGTGATTAAATCGTGAATAATTGATCTAAGTTATGGACATAGTATAAAATATTTTAATACTATTAATATCATTTAATCAGTTATAACAAATCATTTATATTTTTCCTTGAATTCCTTAAATAATTCAATAGAGCAACAAATATTTATATCAGTTGTGTATAAGAACTAAACCTAAAGCTGGAGTGGTATTATTAGTTGTTTAAGAAATCAAGATATTTGTAGAATGTCGGAAGGAAAATATTTTCGGAAAATATTTTCCGATTTTTCCATGTTTGGTTGGCTTAAATATTTTAGAAAATATTTTCTTTATGAACTCATTCTTTCAATTAGAGGAAAATATTTTCCTTATCAAGAAAAGGGAAAACATTTTCCAAAACTCTTTCTCAAGCTTTCCACCCTATTCCCCACCCTCACCAATCCACCCCATACCCCTACACCTACCCACTCCATTCCCTCTCTCCAAAAAGATTTTTTTTTTCAAATTTCAAATTTTTTTTACGTCACCACTCATCCTGCAAAAAAAAAAATTAAACTTTTTTTTTTTTTTTTTTT